ATTCATGGGGAATAATCAAATCTGGAACCAAACTGAGTTCTCTTGCTTCTAGTTCTTTGTGGGAAGTATCAACACATTTCATATTTTTGATTCCTTCATTCATCCTCTTAAATCTTTCTTCATATTGTGAATAATGAACTAGGCTATTCTTTGGGTTCAAGTGGGATGCCACATAGTATATTCTTCTTGACTCTTCATTCTGATAGCATGGTTGCTCTTTAGCAATTATCTTTTCTTTATCAGATGCCACACACTGAATAATTTGATTTGATCCATCTGGTACTGAATCTGATGTTTCTTTCCTTATATCCTGAGGTAACCCTGTCAATTGTTCTAGCCACTTATCTTGTAGTCCCTCATAAGATTGCTCCATTGTTTTCATGATGATGGTACAGTAAAATGAATGAATGACCTTGGTTTTACTGTTACAAAACCTTTCATTAATTATTAACATGTTTTTATAATTAATGTATATAACAATACTAAAAAAATGTAATGTAAATGCGAAAATGCATAAATGAAAAAAAAAGAATGCAAACTGTGTAATGCAAAGATGTAAAAAGTAAGAATACAAAATGAAAATGCACAGATACAAAATGTAAATGCATGTATGAAAATGTGTTACTCAAGAGTGATCATCTTAGAACATATTTCATTGAACACAAAAGTCTCGGTACATCAAACAAAGCTTTTACATGTAGGGAATAACTTTCAGTCCTAACTTCAACAAAACTTTACATATAGGGAATAACTTTCCCATTTTCTTCTCTAAAACCAAGTTAGTTTATCAGCTTATGGGCCATATTGCTTGTCTGGACTGCAGCTTCTTCCATGACATTTTGGTGTTCTTTCATCTCCTATGTCAATTATCAGAGTTGCTCATTTTCCTTTGTGAGAGAACATTTGTGTTCAAAAAGTTTTTGGACAAGATCTTCATGTATGTTGCAACTCTTTTTCAGTTTGGTGACCCCTTCTATCCACTCTTCTGGGGTGTTCCCTATGCCAGCATTTTAAAAGGCTTGACTGACCTTCTGGAAATCTTCATGTATGGTTTCCATTTTCGTGCTCAATTCCTTGTTTTGATCCTTCAAATGACGTATTTGAGCTTCGAATCTCAGCAAATCTTCTTCCTTTTGGACGTCCCTCCTGATGCTCTTACCTTTGAATACATTTGGTGTTGATCTGACAGGATCTTCAATTACCAAACTAGGTTGATCATTTATTATAAACTGCAAGATTCCCTGATCCAAAAGACTTTGGACTCGACGTTTGAAGGCAAGACAATTCTCAATGATATGTCCTTGAACTCCGGCATGATATTTACAATAAACGTTGATGTTATACCAATTCGGATACGGAGGTTGGAACGGTTTTTATATAATATGGATCTACTTCTCGTGCTTTAAGTAGCTTCTCATACAACTCTTTATATGATATGGGGATAGTATCAAGATGAGAACCATCTTTTGTCTTGGATTGAACCTGAGTCTTAGACGTCGGGAGCAGACCAAACTTTGATGATTTCTGATTACATGATTTCTTCTCTTCTCTGGGAGCTTTTACAATTGTCATCATTTCTTTGGTATCTCCAGATGACTTGTGAATACGAATGATGATTGTTTGTAATTTCTCAAGTTGGTTAGGATCAGAAGTCCCTTGCATATTTGAGATTGCAGGATTATTAAGCTTTCTCTCTTTCTGTGCAGAAATCTCTTCTCTTTTGGCCAAAACAGATATTCTATCCATCATCTTGGACATCTGCTCTCTTATTTCTCGTATCTCCTCTTGCTCCTTAATGGACACATGATCTCTAGGTGCATAGCTCTCTTCTATCCTCAGAGTTCCCTCGGGATGTCTTTTCTTGGTCGCATCATATTTTGTTTGATCATAAAACTTTTTGTTCATTTACGATTTCTTTCCAATATGATGAACAGTCTTTCAAGTAAATACCTTTTTGGTTATGCCATGATCATGCAACAAAAGAAATCAATATGAACAGATTAGAGCAATGTAACATGCATGAAAAAATAAAAAAATAGAATAGTTAGTACCAACTAATGGAAAAAAAAATCTATTTATCAAGGTATAAATCTTAACCTCATGCTTTCTAGTTCCATGCTTTGTTTGGAAAAAATTAACCTAACCGCATGATTTCTAGTTCGCATGCATTTATTCAGGAAAAGGAAATAAAATAAATTAAAAGCTAGAGCTTATTTCTCCTTTGTGTATACCTATGAACAGAGGTTCAGTATTATCTTAGATCATGTGAATTTCTAGGGTTTATTATATACAGGTTTTCAGTTCTAGGAGTAAAGGTACTCGAACTGTCCTTGTTGATGCCCCCTTGGGCTGTCAACCCTCAATCCTAGTCCATTACAGACTTAAGAGGATCAAGTTCAATTCGAGGGGATACATTTCTCTATACCGGACACGGAGAATAAATTCTCACGAAGACATAGAGCATATGAACCCCAACAGTTACTTGCTAGGTCTGACACAGAGAATAAATTCTCACGAAGACGTCGCTTTCACTCCCACTTAAAAGGGGCAAACTCAATTATAGAGCTTTATGTTATGCAATGCAAGTGTTGTGTGTGAGGATAAATGTTCAAACCTCTAACAGACAAATAAAATAAATAATATCTAAATAAAAAAATTAATAAAATAATATAAAAGTAATAAAAATTTGAAAGAAAAGAATTAAAAATTAAATATATGAATTTTTAATTTCCAACTGATAGAGACTATTTACAATTAATTTTAAAGTTTGACAATTCCCCAGCGGAGTCGCCAAGCTGTTGTAACCGGTTTTCGTCCGGGCACGAATTTTTTACTTGGCGGGAAAAGTGATGTGAATAAATGGTTTTTAAAATAATTTGGGAGTCGCCATCGGCCTTTTGGGTCAGGTAGGTCGAATACCTAAAAATCATCCTTTAAAAGAGTTTTTAAGAAAACATCGATTAAAAGATAAACTGATCTGCGTTTTAACCAAAAATTCGTTCTTTTTAATAATAAAAAGGGATTCGTGGTCGGTTACGTTTAGGGAAGGATTAGCACCCCTACAACGCCCAAAATTGGTACTTTTTAATTATAAATTGTCTCTATTATTAGAAATTTAAGAATTCAAAGATATATTTAATTTATAATTATGTTATTTCAAATTTTATTACTATAATTTTTAAAAATATATTAATTTAAATATATTTATAAAAATATTTATTTATTTAGAAATATCAGAAAAAGACTTCTAGGTGCCTTAAGACAACTCTTTTCTTCGATATTAAAAAAATAAATATTAAAATTTTAATAATTTAAATAAAACTAAATTATAATTTTTATAATGTTTAATTATTTAAAATACCAGAATAGGACATCCAGTTGTTTTAAGACTGCCCTTTTCTTTGATATTGAAAATAAATAAACATTATTAATTAAAAGAATATAGATATATATTTATATGAATAAGATAATAATAATAAAATAATTACAAAAATAATAATTTAAACATATAAAATTAAAATATAAATAAACAATGAGTAAAATAAATAAAATTAAAATTAAATATAAAAAGTAATAAAACTTATAATTAAAATTGGTGACTAAATTATGACATATCAAGATTAAAAGCTCTAGTTTGAAATATTATGAAAACTAGGTGTTACTAATGTAATTAATCCTTAATTAATTAATTAGAGGTCAAAATAAAAGTTATTAAAGTTATAAGGACTAAATACGATATTTACCCTAAATATATATAAGTATACAGGCTAGGACTAAATTATAAACTAAATAAAATTGAAAGACCGAATTAAAAGGTTCAAGATTTGATTTCAGTGACCAAAATGAAAAGCTACAAAACTGTGGTGGCAGCGGGTATAGTTTACCCATGCGAGAAATTATAGATATACCCCTTCCCCAAAACGACATCGTTTGGGGAAGGGTTTAAAAATCCCTTAAGGCCGGCCCTTAAGGGCTAGCTTCTCACTTTCATCTTTCCTCTTCTCTCTCTAGTTGAGAGAGAAGAAAAACTCTCTCGCCTCTCTCTAGTTTTCTGTCGCCGGCCGGCCACCACCAAAGACGCTGATCACCACCGCCGGCAGCCACCAACGGTGGCCGAAATTCCTAAATTACCCTAGAGTGTAGATCTCGACCTCCTAAGGTCGAATATGGCCTTCGCTTGTCCTAAAACGCTTTAGATCGTTCTAGATCTAAAATAAATCGAAGGTTTTACCTTCGGTTTTTACAATGACTCCGGTGGTTCCAAACGATTTGGAGGCTTTTATGATGGTAAGATGCTCATTTTCCTCTTCTTTATGGTTATTGGGTGTCGATTTGTTCTCGTATTCTGCTCTCTGTTTAGTTCATTGTTCTTGCCGTGGCTTTCTGTTTGTGTGTTGGTTGCCCCTCTGTTTTGGTTATCTCCGATTCTTCCTCTCTGTTCATTTTTGCAGGTACGATGGCTTTATAGCCATCTCGGTCGCTTGCTCGAACCGGTTAAAGGAATGGAGTTCGGTGAGTCACAGAGCTATGTGGTGACTCACCATAGAGCTCGACATGTGGAGGGGCAGCTGGCTTCTGGAGGCTTCTGGCGAGGCGGCGATTTCGTGGCGTGCCACTTGCAGCTGGAACGTCTGGAAGCAACGGCGGCGGCCGCGTGGCCCTAGGGTTATGATACCCTAGGGTTTTTTTGTTGGACTGCATCAGGGCCGTTGGATCATATTAGATCCAACGGCTGAGGATCTGCGGCGGCTGGGTTGAAGATGATAAAACCCTAACCGGGTTTTAGGGTTTATTTTGGGCCAACTCTGTTGGGCCTGATTGTTTGTATTTGGGCTTGTAATAATTAATAAATAATATATATTATTAATATTAATAATAATTATAATAATAATAATAATTTTAATAATAATAATAATAAATTTAAATTTAAAATGAAAAAAAATTGATGTCTACACTCTAAATTTTTGTGTTTGGTTCCCGTAAAAACCTTTGGTCAATGCAATTATATTTACGGTCAACATAAAAGAAGCTCCTTCGTTCCCGTAAAACAACTTACCATAGAAAAACGGGAATTCATTTTACGAACAAACTGCTTGACCTTCTTTGCCTTTGATCTCCTTTATTCTCCGATCAACTATCATCATCTTCTTCTTACCAACAATAATTACTCAGCCCACAACAAAATCAGCAGATTTTGGACCAGCAAAATCAAGTGAGGAGCTCTACGATTCCAAGGTAATATTTCGAATCCCTAATGCTCCTCTTTCTAATTCTCAAGCATAACTGACATGGGTGAGAAGGAATGACATCGTGTTACGGACCATTGATCGATCTCTCAGAAGCTTCTCATCATATGGGTCACTTCGTTCAGCTTCTGGTTTTCGTTCACCGTTCCAGTCCTGTTCAGGTTTCTCTAATCTGTCCCTCTGTTCAACTGTGTGGGTCTATGTTTTGTCCTTTTTTTTTTCTTCAATAACTGTGATTTCTAACATCTCCCTGTGTTCCGTGTTGGTGAAACGAAAGTATAAATTATCTAAAGGAGGAGAAATAATCAAGACGGACATTCAGGTGGGCGATAACACTCAATCCCTTTTCTCCGTCTCCTTATGGAAAAAAGAACTGCGATCAATTGCTGCTGCAGGCGACATCGTCTTATTGCGAAGTACACTGACTAGTTTATCTTCTTAGTCTCTTAGTTATTTCACTATTAATTCCGTTTAAATTTGTGATACTCTATATTTGTGCTTTAATCTCAGATGTCAAGATTACAAAATTCTGAGATGTTTTCGAGGCCAGAAGTGATGACTGATCATCTTTACTCTGTCTAGTCCACCCTTACCAGTCCCTTGTTTCAAAGAGTGTGACTGAAGTATCTTGTTTCAATATAATGGTGTTTTATCCATTTATATATATGTGTGTGTGTGATATTTAATAAGAGTGTGAATTCAGTTATTAAACAATAGAAGCTCGTTAACTAAGTGGAGCCTTGTGTTCATACTTTGTTGTAGGTGCAATTGAATTAGTAGCAGTGTAAAATGGGGATAATGGTCAAAGAAAAGCTTTCCAAGGTTATAGAATGGGTGCGGAGGACCGGATATTATGCTATTGAGAATGTTAACCCGTATGATCATCAAGTATTCGTTCCTCTCTTCTATATTTTATACTAAAGTCTCATGTTTTTCTTGCATTTGCTATTTGAGGAACTTCAAAATAACCCTTTCATCATGCTTTTCAATTTTGGTAATGTACCTTTCATTATCATATATTTTGTGATGTCTTGTTGTGAATTATGTCGCCTTGCTAAAATTGCTCATGCTTGAATAGAAGTGAATGTTTGCCCTATTTTATGTATCTTGCTATTGAATTTGTTTGCTTTGGGATAAATTTTTTGCTTGTTTTTAAAACTCGTCTGATAAAGTGTACCAAATTAGATTACCATGCCTTTTCCTTTTGCTTATTTATCTTTTTGGTCTATAGGTTCTAGCGTATAGCTGTTATTTAATCCATGTTTGACTATATTTGTTCTAAATGTTTTCAATAATATATATGTTTGATTTCACTTCAGAAGAGGCGACTATCCAGAAATTGGAAAGTGCCAGAACCAAATAAATGGAGAGAATGTCCCTCACTTTCAGAGGTTTTGTGCCTGAGCAGTCATTGTAAGGTGATATTTAGTGCATCTGTTGGAGAGATTTTTCTGCCGATTACATGGAGGCGTATTGGAGAATCTGAAAATGAAAATATGTTTATTAGCAGGAGATTATATACATCAGCAGGCAATGGTTTAGCTGAAGATCTTATATGCACTGGTTGCCTGCTATGTGGTTCCCCTTTGCATCAAGAGCACGGGTATGGTAAGTATCCTCAAATTTTCTTGCATGGCTTTTAATGTTATGAACGGATAGGATTTCGATGTCTATATACTTTCTAGCAGATCTATAGTTGGGAGAGTTCCACTCTATTGTGAGAAAAGCTCGGATCGCCTTCATGCAGTCAACTTGATATATAGACTTTAATCATATGTTGGTTTGATGTGTTGTAGCACTAATTATGAATTAGACAATATTTTTGTATTATTATGGTTTGATAATATCGTTATCTTAATGTAGTGTAGTTTTAATTAAACACTTTGTAAATATTATTATTATTTATGTACTATTTTTGTTTTAATAATGATGTAATTTTAATTATTTACTTTGATAATATATTTTTAATAAATTATCGAGATTATATCAATTAAACCTACATATAATATTAATTATGAGTTAAAATTTAATTTTAAAAATGCTAATAGATAAAGTATCATGAATACTTCAAACCTAAAATTGTGTATTTATAACACAATCAACATAAATTATATTATCTACAAATTTAATTTCGAGTACTTATATAAATAAACATTTCATTTCAAAATTTTATAAAATATAATTTTATAAAAATAACTTAAAAAAATTAAAATGTAAATAACAAGAAAAATATAAAAATATATATATTTTTACAAAAAAAATAGATTTCATAAATTGTTTTCGGGAAAACTAACCAAATAGTGTAAAACATTTTACAATGCAGCATCCAATGTAAATTGTTTTTCTGGAAAATGTTTTTCTGGAAAATGTTTTTCAAAAATGTAATTCATTTTTCAGAATTCAATTTCCAGAAAACCAAGTACAACTAAACAAACAGACCCTTAGACTAGTATGGATTCCATATTTCCATTGTTTATGTGCGATTATGATTACATAAAAAGATCAAAATAAAAATTAAAGCCCCTATGCTTCGTCAAAAAGGCTAACGTTTGTAACATAATATAGCACTTACCTTAGTACCAGAGAACTAACAAATTTAACATCATCATATTACTAATAATAGGTCTATGCTTCAGGACATTTTCCTCATGTTGGTTTGATGTATTCCCTTTTATTTTTAAATTTCAAAATGAAAAAAAGGCATTGAAATTATATAGGAAAATCATGTTTTGTATAATTTAAAAAATGAAAATACATGATTTAATTTAATAGAATTTTAAATTTTAAACAATTTTTTTAATGAGATAAAAAACATTAAAGAGAGGAACAAGGAAGATAAGACAGAGATTATAGAAGCACACATTATTAAAGCAAAAATCGTTAAGCGCCGAACTCAAGTTACGATCTTCAAAACAGGGTGTGGGTTTCAAATCCCACTTCTTACAATATATTGTTTTCTCTCTTTATCATTGATGTTGCCATCACTATCGTCTACTATTGTCACCATCATCAACCTTCGTAAGTCTCACGCCCAAATCCCAACCATAAACTGTTCAAGTTAACATTATTACAAACAACAACAACAAAACCCTATTCTCATATGCAATGGGTAAGGACATGTAGGGTAGTAGGTTGTCCCCAACGCCCGATTGAGAACAGGTTCCGTAGAAGATCTCCGGCAGTCGGAAAAATTAAAAAATAGAGATAAAAATCCAATGCATGTATAAATAAATAAATTAAATACGTGCGTCTATAGTAATTCCAATCCAAGGAAAATGGTGAAACAGATGCAAAAATTGTTCATGTTCAGAATCATTCTAATCTTCTATAGAATTCTAATAGTTTCAACCATACATTGCAAAATTAACATGCATTTTAGAGGTTCAAATGAGGAGAATCTTGAAAAGCATGAGTAAATTTCCTTGACGAAGGAATACAAGCTGAAACATCGAGGTGTGTTAACCTATATTTTTTATTTAATTTCAACCACACGTGTATTTAATTACTAATATTTGTTAATTATTTAACAAGTTCATATTTTTGGTCTAGCTGTTGAGTACTTAACATTAAGCTAGTTACTTTCGAGTTTGAAATCTCACAATGTCAAAATTTAAGTTGTTAACCTTTAAATAAATCAAATGATGATATGCATCACCATTTGATTGATTGAAATTCATTTAATACAAAATATTAAAATAAAATTAATTTAATAAATATCTTTGAACATTACTCAAAAAGTGATGATGTGTGTCGTCATTCAAACGACTCACTGTTCAAATCAACAGAGTATTTAAGTTTCATAAAGAAGATCATTACTGTTTGAACATTACTCATATTGTTTCAAAAGTGAAAGTACATTCACATAAGCTCTAGAAAGATAAAAAACTGGAAAACATATGTAAATTAGAAGTTTAAGTGTTCAATAGATGCGTCAGATTCGAATAAAAAAGCAAAAAAGAAAAAGCCTAAATCTAAAAAGAAAGATGACTTCGAAATCTTGTAAATGTTACTACTTTCAGCATCCAACACCAAGAGGTGTCCCTGCGGGAAACTTCAATAGAAAATGGTTCAATCCCAAGCTTGCTTCCATCAAAAACTGTTTTCACAGTGTATCCACCTTCAAATTTTATCATGAAAAGGCTCAAAACAGTTGAAAGAAAAAAAATCTCATCAATTTCATTTGCTAAAAACACAAATTTTTAGATCACATAAAGACTAAAAATCCTCGAAAACATACATAAGCCTAACACAATTGCTTGATTGAACATCAAGCAAACACAAGAGTTACCATTAATTTATATTTAAAACGCTGCTCCAACCAAAACGGCACCAATTAATAGAGATCCAACTGAAACGGGGGATTTTGAGGAGAATGATGCATGGCTCTTCCTTGCTCATTTTTTCCAACACTAACAGCCATGATCAACTGCCAGGGAAAATGAAATTGCATTAACAAATTAAACCCGTCCTATAAACACCAACACCATCCCATTGGCCACAACTGAGATTTTTGCATCAGTTACATAATTAAACTCTCTTTTCAGGTGCATCAAAACCTAGGTTAGTTTAGCTATGCAATCATCACTTCCTCTTAAAATCATATTTAAAGACAAACATTGAAGTGGCCCTTTTACATCAATGCTGAAAATTATAGTATAGTTCAACCACATAATATATGTTGTGCTTATTATTTCTTCTACGAGAAACCAGCAGTTCAACTCAAGATTCTCAAAATTCAACTACCTTTACTAAATGGAACGTATAATTATAAGGTTCCAAACAAGACTAATTGAACAAGTTTTGAGCAGAAACAAACTTCAAAACAACAATTATAGGCTTAAATGAGCATGATCCCAAATACCTAGCACCACCTTCTTTGAAGAAACATTGTTTATACTCACAATTTGCAGCTTGATTGTCTTGCCATCCAACTCCACAGTTCTGATTTTCTAAATATAAGCAATTAAATAAAATAAATTCTCACATTCTTTAATACATGAAACAAACTTACATGTATTTGTGCGACAGAGAGAAAGAAACTCACGAAATCAACACCGATGGTACTGATGTAGCTATCCACCTAAGAATCATCCTGGAAGAGGGGAAAAAACGCTTAAAGTCCTTAGCCCCAAATTACACTTAAGATTAGCCTCAAAATCAAGCTCATCAATCACTATTATTAATTAAACGATAAAAAAATTAACTAAAAAGCAAGCCGATGATGTCAAAACAAGTAAAAAACAAATAAATGAAAAGAAAATTTAAATTTAGAAAAATCAATAACAGCTACAAGAAATTAAACTTGCAGCGAATCTGAGAAGCAAACAGGATTTCCCGAAGGAGGGGTCGCCAATAAGCAGAAGTTTGAATAGATAATCGCTAGAAAAAAATTATAATATTATATATATATATATATATATATATATATATATATGGAGAGATAAACGAGCAAATATTCAACTTTTTCAAAAGAAATGCAAGTAAAAATATAAAAATAAAATAAAATTAAGGAGGAAGGCTCACTATTCGTTGCTCATTTTGAGATCCAAAAGACTTGAAGATTCTGGAGACGGATAGTTGAGCAGAGAAAGGGAAAGTTCGTTTTTTTAGTTTTTATGTCAACACTTGAGATGTTTTCTTTCGATTTCTTCTCTAACGACAATGGTGACGGAAGCCACGACGGCTTCAAACGGCATCAAGCGGCGGCTTCGTGAGAGGGAGATACAGTTTGGGTTTATGATAAGAAAACTATACATTTGTGGGGTTTGTAAATAAAACGCCATTAACTTAATAAAAATTACGGTAATTTTAAATTAAACGCACTAAAGTACATGTTTATCGTGACGAATTCATAAAAATGGCCACCGTTTAATACTCTATAGCGGTTACTATAAACGCTGCAAAGTTTATCATTTTGTAGCTTTATTTTCCTTTAACACTGTTATTATAAAAACTTAGCAATGTTTGCTCTTATAACGTCACTAAAAGTAACACTATAAGTCTGTTTATTGTAGTGTTAATCAACTAAACTAGTTAACTATCAATCAATTAACGATTTTATCTAAAAGTGAAAAATTTAATTCAAAATAAAACGTTAAGAGTTAAAATACTTAAAAAAAAAAAGAATGTGTAAAATTAAACATTTAGTCAAACACTTATTTTAACATTATTTCAAAAGAAAAGTTATATAAACCTTATGTAAAAAAACACACGCAATACATGTTAGCACCAGTACAAATCGAACTGAACGAGGGTGGAAACATGTTTGTATAAACCTTATATTTAATTATTAAATGAATATATATTTAAAATATTATTATATTTAAACACCTAAAATAATTAATTTTTACCCATATCAAATTTCACATCGATTAAAATTGAATTTTTATAAATGTTTAAATACATATAATGATTCATATCAAATTTCAAATCGATTAAAATCGAATTTTTATAAATGTTTAAATACATTGCTCGTACTAATACAGGTCTTTGACATGCATCTCTCTATATATTATTAATATATATTAAGATAAAATTTGTATAATTTTTTCTGAATGCTTTTGAAGATGTAATTGATATGACAGATCATTACTTACGTGGCATTAAAGGAATATCTTTCATTAAATAATCGATAATGAAAGTTATTTGATATTTAATTTTTATGGTAATATATCCTTTTCCTCCTATTTAAAAAATAAATTAGTTAATTCATTTATTTATATTTTTATAATTAAAGAAAACTTATATGTTTGATTAGATAATATTGTTATGTCATTAAATCGATGACATCATCGTCAATAATTTAATATATATTTTATTAGTTTGAGGTAAATATAAGATAATATTTGTTTGAAATATTTTGTTGAATTTAGATTTTGATATAATAATAATGTGTAAAATTGATTTTGGACTTAATCGATTTTTTAAAAAATTTATCAAAAATAATTCAACGTCGAAATTAACTTGAAAAATATATTTCAAATGTTTTCCAACATAGTAGAACCTTTTCAAAAACATATTCGATCATTTATGTGCTTTAAAGTCAAGTTTCCAAGCATTTTTTTGGCTCAAAGGATCGACCCCTTAGCAAAAGGATCATTTCATTTTGATCAAAGGATCTATCCCCTTAAGAAAGGATCGATCCCCTTAAGAAAGGATCGATCCCTTGCATTCGTAGGTTTTGGACGATCCTTCGAGGAAAAGGATCAATCCCTTTCTAGTAACGGTCGAATTATTTGTGAAAGGGATCGATCGCTTGTGCATTAAATGTTGTTTTTGGTTATAGGTAATGACTATAATGATCCTAACGGCTCCGAACGACTAGAATTTATGAAGAATGTATAAATTGAAGGTCAAAGAATCCCAAGGTTGACAAAAACCATTTTTTTATCTAACTTACTAATATCAAATTCTTTATTGTAAACACACTTGTGAGCTACATTGTTTATTTTGCTCATGTGTGTATTGGGTGAGTGCTTAATTTATGCAAACATATTTTCTATGTAAGGTTTTCTCATTTGTTTGCTTTATTTGTATTATTCTTTACGAGAGTGTGTATTCAAGGTTTTGTGGTATAAACCTTGAAGTGTTTGTAAGGTTACACTTTGTCCTTAAAGGTAAGAAATCTAGTGAATTTGAGAAATCCTTAGTGTGGATGCTAAGGTAGTGGATGTAGACTTGGTTTTGAAGTCGAACTATGTTGAGTTAATCGATCGATGGAATCGGCCAAGAGGGGGTGAATTGACAATTAAAATTTTGGTGGAAGCTTTTTCACAAAATTGAAAGTAATTGCACATCGATTTACAGTGGTTCGACTTTCTCAACAAAGTCTACGTCCACTACCTTAGCTATCCACACTAAGGATTTTCCAACAAATTCACTAATTTGTTCTTTCTGTTGAGGCCAAAGAGATAACCTTACAACTCCCTCAAGAATATACCTCAATTCTTGAGAACACTCTTTTCTTAAAGAGAAGATTACAAATTTGCAAACTTACAAGAAAAAACCTCACAAGGCAAATATGTTTGCACAATTCTAGAACAAAGAAAGAACACTCAAGAATAAATACAATTGAGCACAATAAGTGTTCTTGAAAGCAAAATGAATATTGAATGAAAAATAGGCTTGAAATGCTCAAACTTGAGGTTTGATGCTTTCTCTTTGATTCTCTCTTGATTCTAGTTGCTTGATGTTTCTTGTTATTGATCAATGGCTTCTAAGCTTGTTTAAATACACCTTGAATCACTTTTGAACGTTGGGGGATCATTAATGAAGTTATTGGAGCCGTTTTAAGTGTGAAAACAATTAATATTTCTGCTTGGAGCGTGGGAGGAATCAGTCCCCCTCATGGGGAATCAGTTCCCTAAGTGTAAAATTCAAATATTTCTACAGTTGATCAGGGGGGAATCGGTACCCCCTAGGGGGGGAATCGGTTCCCTCCGAGCATACTGGAATTTCTAGGAGCCAAACCATTCAAGGGGAATCGTTTCCCTCTAGACATACTGGAATTTTTGGCTTTGAAATGGTTCAAAATACTTTGTAAATTTATTTTGAAATTATTTTAAGATTAAAACTTAATTTTACACTTGAGTAAGGATTAAAAATGACTTTTGAAAGATTTGGAGTAATATTTTGATATTCGAATAATTATATCGAATATACTTAGAAAATCTTTAGGAAAATCTTAAAATTCATTTATCTTAATTTGTTATATCGAAATATCAAAATGTATTCAACAATCTCCCCCTTTTTGATATAACAAAACATTTTGGTAATTTTAAGATTTTGAAATCAAGTTTTGAAATTACTCCCCCTTACTCTAACACTACTCCTCTTTAAAACGCTTTTAACATTTCTCCCCTTTTTGTTAAATCAAAAAGACTCGTAAAAGATTTTAAACAAGGTTCTAAAATCATTTAGCCAATTGATTATATAAATATATATATCTTAAGCTACTAAGATCACAATCAAGAGAAACGTTAGCCATTAGTTTCATAATCAATATTCATAAACAATGTGACATGGCAAAATTGGTCATATAGCTAACATGATGTAAATGATGCAATAATGAATAAATTTAACCACACCAAATATATAGAAATATAAGTTCAAACATCCATAATTCATCAAATTAGTTTAAATATCCAACAACCAAAGTAAAAACAATCCAAAAACATTCAAAATGTTGAAACAATAAGCTTTAAGTTCAAAGTACTAAAGCATAACACATAATCAAGTATCCGTATGAGGATCGGGAGGAGGAAAATGAGCTCGCATAGCGGCCATCTCATGTGAGAGTGCATCAATGCGTTCATTCATAGAAGCGTTGTTTGTGCGCATCTCCCAGAGAATTTCCAATTGTTGAGCTCCCATTGTGGATAAATGAGATTCTATAGAAGTGAAGCGATAATCCATGAAAGCATATCGGAAATCAAATGTCTCCATAAAGGATCGAAAGTATAGAGGCATTTGATCCTCTGGCTATGCTTGTTCCTCTGCTCGTGCTTGTTCCTCGTGCTGTTATGGTTCATCGTCGGAGTCGTCAACTTCATGCGGTTGCTCACCGGTACGAACCCAAAGACCAGTTTCTTCATTGATCTTCCATCCCGATTTAGTTAAAGAGAATAGATTGATTTGGTTTTTGAGGGGAAAGAAAGCATCAAGACCAACTCTAAGCCCAACCTTTTTAAACATATTACTAAGAATACAACCGTAAACTAAAGAAGAACACAATTTCTTATTGCGAACAAGATTTACGGTTTCGACAAGTTCAACAAAAATAATCTGTGGAAGGTTACTTTTTTGATTATTTTGGACACAATGAAGCCAAAATAGATCTAAGGTGCGAAGAGTAGAGTAACGGTCCCTGGATGGTCGAAACCACCAAGAGATCATTAGGTGAAGAAAACGGTCATGAAGGTCTAGAACACTTGCACTATCCCTTCGTTTATACTGAGATCCTATCGTAAGTTTTTCATTGTCTAACCCTTCATTATCTAATCCTAATGCTTTGGCAATGGATTCCGAGTCAAGATGAAAGAATCGTCCTAGAAGATAGGATCGAATCCCTATGGTTAAGGTTTCCTCTCGGTTTTTA